TTCAAATAGATTTCAGATATAGCAGCTAGTGTAGAACCTTCGAGCAGACTACTTAAATTAGACAATCTAAAGTTGTACATGTAGCTAGTTGTACTCTCACAATATGTATTATTTACTCACTATCAATACCAATAAAAAATTCAGCTGATAGCATTTGTATAAAGTAAAAAAAAAAAAAAAAAAAAAAAAAAAAAGATCATCAATAAACAATTCGTATGCAAGTTTTAGGGTATTATACATATCATCTCTAACTACTGCTTTGAATTTGGGAATATTTTCAATTTTTTTATCCAAGATATTAAAATTTTCATAAGTAGATTCCAATACAAATTTATCTAGTACATTATATATTTCTCGAGAAAAATTTTTAATACTTTTAGGTAATTCTTTAACTACATAATGACTTTCACTAATTGAAATATAAGAATAAAAGGTAATACTTAATGCTAGTATCTGTTGTGTAGCTTTTCTAATATCTTGTTGGGTTATATTCATCTTTAAAATGTCAAATTTATCTATCGTTAAAATTATTACAAAGTGTCATTTATATTATTTTAAACATTTATTTTAAATTTAAAAAATAAAATAAAACATATTAATCTATTACAGGAGAATTAATGTTTTAAATATATACAAATTATTATAATTAATAAATCTAATATCTATATAATTATATCTAAATTACTGATTCCTTTGTTTCTTGGAGATCCTAACATCAATTCTCCCTTTGATATACACATCTACTTCCTTTACTGATTTTTTTCAAACATATCACTAAAAATGTCTTTTCCTTTAAGAGATAATATAATATATCTAAATGATGTTTAGTAGGATCATACTCGTTGATATGTATTATTCATTGATCTATACTTAATTTCTTATCTCCTTCTATTATTAGAAAATCAATTCTCTCACTCAATGTCTTATTGAGATTTCTAGTATTATATAGCAACATGAATGTTTTCATCTGAATATTGCTACCAGAGAGATAATTGTAGGGTTTTAAAATAGTATCTTTATAATGCATTGTTCTATCACCTTCATATCACTATTTTTTACATGTTTGTCATTTAGTTTTATTATTAAATTTATATTTCTTACTCTTATTGCAGTTAGTAAATAATTCCAACTTTCTATTTACCATGTCCCAACAATAATTTTTAAATTGTTTATAAGCCATCTTGGTACTTATTGTAGCTACTTCAGTTTTATTTTCAGGTACTTTAGCATTTTCACAAAAGATGTAAACCTTGTCTTTATCACTACCAGATAAAGCTAAATCTATCATTTCATCTAATACTTTTGTCGCAAAATGTTGCATCTAATCGTATTTTGTTTGATTAAAAAAAGTTTATATATTCTTTACAGTTATTTAAACCTAAACTATTCATATACTCAGCTAATTTATGATAATCATACACTTCATATAATACTTTACGCTCAAAAATTTTTTGAAACATACTAGCATCTCTTCATACAATATTTAATCCACGTACCAAATTATTCAAATGGCGATTCATTTGAGCTAAACACATTATATTATCAGTTTCTTTTAAATATTTTTATACTAATATATTAGATACTAATTCGGAATCATATAGCTCATATTTTTGTACTAAAAATTTTTTTATATCAAATCAGTTATCATCCTATACAAACTCATTTGACATCATTGATAACTCTGCATATCGCTTCTTTCCAAAAGATGTAGGAAATATTATAACTTTTCTAATGCAACCCTAATCATTTCACACTCATCTTGTTCATTTAATTTATTAAAATCATTACATATTTTAGTTGCTTCTTCAAAAGTTAGTTCTTCATAAAATGAATGTAAAACAGAAGTATAATCATCTAGAGATTTAGAATTCAAAAACTTGTCTGCATATTCTTTAATAATTGATTCTAATTTCTCTTGTTGAATCATGAATAATGCAGAATCTGTATCACTATATATGACTTGACAATCTTTACTGGTTATAAAATTTGATAATTTATTAATCATGAACCTACTAACAGTAGTTACACCCGCTGAAATTTGTTTATCAGAGATAATAGAGAAAGACGCACTGGTGAGCAGTATTAAATATCTGAAAATTTTTTTTTGTTTTCTGAGAACATAAAATTTAAATTTTAGGTTCTCAGAAAGATTTTTAATGTTCTCAAAAAATTATTTTATAATACAATTTACAAATTTTATGTTCTTAAATGAGAACATAATTTTTAAATATTATGTTCTCGAAAATATTTTAATGTTCTTGAGAACACTGAGAACATTAGATATTAAACACTGCTGGTGAGACCATATATTGAATTAGCAAGAACCTTGTAAGCTAATTGTTGTTGATCATAAAGAGTATAGTAAAAAGTTCCCTCTTTATGTTTTTTCATTTCTTTTTTTACTTCCTTTCTTTGATCAATAAGTAATTTTAACAAACTCATTAATACACCTACTCTTTTAGACTTGTTCAAAAAACTAACAATATCTAATAATTCACTATCATCATTAGTGATCTCAATAATATGGTACTTTAATGTATTTCCTTCGATATTGCATTTACTTCTGTCTACTATATTAAAATTCAAAAGTCACTTGGTATCTAGGCTCATATTATAATTCATCATTATACTGGGATATAGTGAATTAAAATCTAAAGTTACAATCAGCAAATAATAAAATCTTTTTTCTGGATCCAATATATTCCACTCTATAACCTTTGATTCTTTTATCATCATCACCATTCCACTCTTGACAGGGTATTTAATTTGAATCACATTCTTGGATTAAATTTTTTAATATGATCATCAAATAACCCTCTAAATTTTGTACTGTTTGCACCATAATATACTTGATTATATGATAAATTTGTAAAATCAAAAGTGTCTAATACTATAACTACTTGTTAACCAAGATCAAAAATTCTACAACTCTAGCAAAATCATTAACATAATATAATAAAATTATGTTATTTGCTTCAATATTACCTCGATTATATATAGTATTATGAATAGCAGAGTTCATATTATCAATAGTAATATGATTTTTCAATGGTAACTCCACTTGACTAAGACAACTATTTAGACTAGCAAATTTTGTATTACCAGGAAACTATTGAGCAAATATGATTATATTATCAAATACTATTGTACTATTGATTTTGAACTATAATGCTTTCATAGAGTTCATCTGTGAGGTCTTGACTTCTCTATATTTAATGATCTTGTATTTCAGTAAATCTTTTAGACTATATTGCTTTTTCTCACTGGTAATCCAATTAATAAATCTCAGTATGATATTATAATATTTTAATCAATTAAGAATAAATGGAAAATCATAACCACATATATTGTGACTTGTAATTATTTCTGGTCATATTCGATTCTACACTGAAGCAAAACAATGATAAATACTTACTTCATCGTTTAGTCTATATATATCAATGAGTCATTAATATCTTCTTTATTCTTTACAATCTTTGCCTCTAATTGATTCTTATAAGCATCTACTATTTAATCTAAACTTATCGATTCATCTACCTTTAAAGCTTCTTTAAATTCATTTACATTTACTCGCTGATGACCTTGCTCTTTGTTTACTAATTCATTCAATTTTGCTTATAAAACATCATCTGAACTATACTTCATAGGTATCCAATAATATTACTGCAATGTAAACTAGTACATTAGAATCACCCTTGTAAAAAATACATACACATTGATATGCAACATCACTTTTCATAGAACTATATGCTATTCTCGACTCTAACTTGTTAAGGTTTTTGAAAGCATCTATGTTATATGTTTCAAGATCAAATGACATAACTATCATAGAATTGAAGTACTCATCATTAAATTCTAAATCATCAATACTAAACATATTATTTTGATCATTAAGACTCATATATTTCTCTTTTAACTTAAAGAAACCAGCTAATTTGAATAGTCATTTCTTACTATTAACATTAATTATAGTCTTGGGTACAATAAAATGAGTATATTGACCACTAGTATAATCTTCATATAACTCAAATATGCCTTCATATTCTCTATTCAAATAATTTATAACCAATATATGATTAAAATGATTCTTGAAATAAAAATGTCTATATAGTGAATACCTAATTTCTCAACTGACCTATTGACTATCATAATTGGTAAACCTTTCTTATCTCAAACATTCTTTACTATATTATTTAAGCATGCGATAAAAAAATTAATATGGTTTTTACCTTGATAGGCTACAGCTTTGAGTACTTTGACATCAAAATATATATCAAACCTTTTAATGTACATCCAAGTGCCTAGACTTTGCTTATTTACACATTGTATTTTTACTGGGTAAATCTCACTGTTAAAATCAATAATATCTTATACATCATACATACAAAGGCAATCACTTTGTTTGAACTCTATTTTTTCATCCTTGTTAATTATTTTTAGTATATCAATTCTGGTTTTTAGAGTATTAGGGTTAAACTGTACTGGTCTTATTGCCTTTTGACAGATACTAGAGGATTAACCTTGTGTACACGTTTATGTAAATTAAACATTTTAAAATAAATTTGTAATATAATTTAACTGTAACAAGCATTTTATTTATACTATCTAATATCAAAATATATAAAACTTTACAATAAAAATAAAATATTATCTATCTAACTACTCTTGAGTAATTTTATTTTTTTAGGAGTTATGGTCTTATCATTATTAATGTCGTCTTGTACTTTACATTTTTTAACAACTTTTTTAATCATGTCATCATTTTTTTTAACAATACCATTATTTTTTTAACTAATTTAGATGATTTAGATTTAGGAACAATAATAAAATCTAACATATCATCGATTATATTGAATCTATTATTGATCTTACACACCTTTGATAATATTTCAATTAACAAAGAATTTAATTTAATATGATATTTATCTTCAATAAACTTTTTTATAATAATATGTAATCTCTTATCACGTATCGTTTTTTCATACTTTTTTAAATGTTTTTTAGCAATATCATGACTAATAATATCAGTTGGTATACAAACACTTGGTTTATAATCTTTAGAAACTTCTTCAGTAAGTCTCGTAAATTGATTCGCATCAATAAAATATACATATATCTCCAACAATCTATTAATATTATTAAGCAGTATTTCTTCAGAAAGAAATGTTAGATCAAATTTGATTTTAAACAGGTCTTTGATTTTATTTTCTATTTCATGTCTAGAAGTAGCTTTCATAGACATATTTAATACAAAATAACTATGTTCCTGATCAACAGGAGTAATATATGAATTTATCAATCCATTGTAACAACCAATAATTAAGGCAATATTTTTTTTCTTGCTTTCCTTTTTATTTGTTATTAATGAATTATCAACATTATTATTATCATTGTCATTATTATCTTCAATAGATTCTTGTTCTGAAAAATATGATTAATGATTATTATATTGCATATTTTCATGTTCCTCACTATGTTCTGAACTTTCAATTTCAAGTGTATTAATCATGTTTATAATAATTTATTTTTTTTTAATATAGTTTTTTATATAACAAAAGAATGGAAACATGGTATTTATAACAAACAGAAATAAAATAATATCTTATTCACTACTATTCTCTATAACCTAGGGTTTTTTCGAAACATTTTCATTTTTATAATATTCATCTAATTTTCATTTCATATTTTCTAAATTATTTTTTGACTCATTATTTCCTTGTTTATTCATAATATCTAACAATATTTTACGCATCATCTCTTTATTTTCTTTTTGTCTTATTAAACATGTCGTATTTTTATTTATTATCAAATAAAATTTTATTAATGATAATAAAGTATTTGGATATTGAAGATATTTATTCATTATATTTAGTCAATAAAATATTGCGAGAAATAGCAATGAATTAATTATGGAATTTATTATGGTATCATAACAATACTTATCTTTTCGATAGTGAAGAAAAAATCAATGATTACATTGAGACGGATTACTTTTATAAATACCTTAAATTATAGTCAAAAGATGTAAATTTTTTAAATAATTTAGTTATCCTTTTATATAATCATTTTTTAAAGACCATGCAAATGATTTCTGATATATATTTCTTAGAGTATATTGAGGAACATTATAAGAATCCAAAGATGATGCTTTTGATTTTAGAAACACTATTAATACATAGATAAGATTGATTCTTTTCATTTATCTTGTTATAAATTTGATGAATTAGATAATTACTATAAACTATATTTAAAAATTATTGAAGAATTTGATGATATTACTTTTGAAATTATATATTCTGAAGATCATCAGGAGTATTATTGTGAATTAGCCTAACGTCAACATAATGGAAAATATGTAATAGAATTTAATTAATAAAATTTATTTAGTCTATATAAATATCATGTATAGAAAGATTAGTTGGGAGATCGATTATAAGAATATGATATAGATAAAGATTATGTTATAAATTCTTTATTAAATATTGCATACATGTAATACTTTGACTAAACCTAACAAAAACAACATATTGAAAATAATATTATTTTATTTGGTATTTATTGCTGATATCATAATTAGCTATAAAATGAACTATATATTTGGTTAATACGTAATTATGTAAAGTTTATATAAATGATAATAAATATTTTATTTTTTTATAAATGTCTAAAACCAAAATAATGTTAATGATAAGAGACAACTTGCTATTCAAAAAAATCACGTTATCATGCAAAATTAACAGAATTAGATTCGTTATTGTACTCCAGGTCAATATCAAAAGATAGTAAGTTTAAGAGATGTAATATAGGGACATTTAATATTAGATCATTTGGTTATGAAAAATTAAATAATAAATCAGTTATGAATAAATTAGTAGAAATTTTTAGAAGATATAATATAATTTTATATCAAGAAGTACATGCAACAAAAAATAAAAAGAATTTTATTAAAGTTTTGTTAGAGTCTATATCAATAATATGTATGTCATATGATTGTATTATGTCTGATCCTGTTGGAAAAGATGAAAAGGATAGGAGAAGAGTGTATAAAGAAAATTATCTTTATTTATATAAAAGTTTAATCTGGAAAGTAGAGAGTGATTATTTAATAAGGAATAATAAAATTGAACGTAGTTCATATATTGTTAGGTTTAAGTATTTAATATATGATAATTTATATATTAATTTAGTTAGTTATCATATGCGACTGAATAAATCATATATATATAATGAGATTGTTTCATTAGTAACTGATGTATATCCCAAAGTGAAAAGAAATGTTATGAATAAGACTAATAATAAAAATATGGGAATTCTAGATGGATTTATAGATATGTTTAAAAAAATTTCTTTAACAAACAATTCGAATACCAAACTAATAGTTTTAATAGATAATTTTAATGCTGCTGGAAATTACATTACCAAAGCTAATTTAAATAGACTTGATAAATTATTAACTGAAAATGAAATGCAATAGGGAATTCAACATAATCAAGATACAATAGTTGAATCGAGTAATTGTGCATATGATAGATTTACATTTGAAGCTGAAAATATGAGTAGGTAGATAGGTAAATGTAATGTGTAGGAATTTGATGAAAATTGGTTACAAAATAAAAGTCCTGAAGAAAAAATAGTTATTAAAAATATAGCAAATACGATATCAGATCATTATGTTATTATATTTCAATTAAAATTAATTGAGAATAAATTTTATAAAAAAAATATTTTATTTTAAATAATAAATTGTTTATCTAAATAAATATTTATTTAAACGATTAATATATATAATTTGAATACAGTTTTAACTATCAACATAACAAGAAGAATATATTTTCTAATATTCATCTTTACAAGCAATATAATCTGATGGTGGTAGTAGTGATGAAGGGGATCAGATATCATTTTGTTCATCAAAGTACTTTGAAACTTCGTACAATCTTGTTCCCAATTCAGATATCTCCAAATTTATATTTTTCCATTTAGACTAATGATGTAAGATATGCTTTGATACTCTGAGTACTTTTATAGTTTTGTGAGTTAATAAGTATATTAAGATAAAACTGATTCTTTATATTTATATGATATCCATTTATCAACATATATTTATATAATATTTGGTTAGATTGAATAATTATGCATATTAAAGATTTATATTTGAATAGGTAAATATAATATATGAGAATTTGATGAATATTGGTTACGAAACAAAAGTTCTGAAGAAAAGATAATTATGAAAAATATAGTGAATACAATATCAGATCATTATGTTATAACAATTCAATTATTATTAAGAATAAATTAAAAAAAAAGATTTTTTTTAAAAAATATTTATTTTAGATAAATTGTTTTCTAAATATCTATTTATTGATAGTACATTAGAAGTAGATAAAAAAATTATCTGCTGTAACAGGATAGAAATCCATCACTAGTTTTTGGTTCTATCTCACATACTGGTATATTTTCAGAACAATTGTACATAAGCCTAAATTTACAGATAGCACTATCAGGAGTTGTTGAGCTATCTTTAGTCTAACAATAACAGTCTACTACTTTAACATTTTCAGTATTTATATTGCTTCAAATTAGTAATTTCTTTTTAAGAGATTTAACATCAGTGGGTAAAGGCTCAGATAGAATCTTAACTTTAGTAGGTAAAGGTTCAAGTGGAGTTGTAATGATAGCTAATACTAAAAATAATGTTAATATTATAATTTAAAGTTAATTAATAATATTAATTAATTTACCTCTAGACTGAACGAATGCTACCAAAGCCAAGTAACAAATAAGAAGAAAGATTAATTTTTTAGATGCTATAATTGAAGTGTTTACAATACTTTGAAATGATTGTAATATTTGAAAGGATGTAAATGATTTTATTTATAACAACAAGTTAGTAACATCATTACTTTATTTATTTTCATACTAGTTTTAAATATTTTTGAATTTTATTTACAGATTGTTTTCTAAAACTCAGAATTAGATCAGATTATTTTTAAACAATTATTTTTTCAATATCTATCAATTCATCATAAAGTTTATATTCAAATCTCTATTTTCAATAATCATTTCAGAATCTTGATAGATTAATAGTATGATAAGATCACTTGTTAATGACAGTTCTCCAAATATGCCCTAGGTTTAATCTGTATTGATTTTATGATTGGTGCAATAATAGTTTATCTTTTTGTAAAATCTTATATGACATATGATTTTAAATATAATTGTAAGTATCAGCAACAGTATTAAAGTCAATGATTGAATCTAAGCACCTTCTACAGAAAAACTGATTATTTATAATAAATCATATCACAGTTATAGAATGAAAAAAGTTAGTACTTATTTGAACGGAGTAGGCCCCAGTGCCAAGTTGCCTTAGCTTAGATATTTCAAAAGTATATTATGTGTACCATTATAATCTCTATTGATCTCAAGATCACACATGTTACACTTGTAAACCTTCGTGCCTTTTAGATCATTTTTGATGTGTCTATAGTTACCACATGTCTTGCTTGTATAATGCTCATCACAAAGTACTAACAACCTACTGGAATATTCTCATATCTTGTGAATAAGATATTGTTGGAACTTGTAATGTAACCAAGTCAACATCATCCTCGTGGTCTTGCTATTGATTTTTTTCTTGCGGTTTTTCTTGAAGGTTTTGATAGATTCAGACTCTTGGTTCTCTAGTCTTTTATCTTTCTTTCTCACCATGTTTCTGGTTCTTTGCAATCTTGTGATGACAATTCCTTATTAGGTTCCTTATCTTGTCATATATTCTCAGCATCTTTCTCCTCAACTTATATTACTTTTGTTTATTTAAATAGCCTTTAAGTTTGGACCTCTCACTCTGATACTTGTCGAACTTTTTGCACAACTAGTAAATGCATGCAATATCGCCTTTACTATATTCAATGATCTTTCTAGTAGGATCATAACACGTTATAAAAGTTCTGACACCTGGATCGATAAAAATAAAGTTATTGTCTTCACAGTAATATTCTATTATTAGTATACAAACGCAAAAATAAAATCAACTGAGTTTATCCCTCATGATTTTGACCATATTATTTATCCTAAAAGTTCTTCAGAGGTCTTGATATGTTTTAGAAAAGCGAATTGCTACTTTCTTTGTTGAAATTTATTCTTTCTATTGTAATAGTTTGAGACTTGTATTTCCTTGATTTCTTTTGATCTCAAACTTGAAATCCTTATTTTTCTTATACTTTGCAAAGTTTGTCTTGAACATAGTTATTAGTTCCATTATCACTTGAAGTCGTATCACACTGGGCGTATTTTTGACCTAAGTGTTTTCATATTCATAATTATCATTGTTCAACACTTTTCTTCTGAGATTATCCCTTGACAAGAATTCACCTTGTTTTACCAGTTCCAAACATTTGTTATATGTCTATCAGTACGTACCTATCCATTTTAACAATATTTGTTTTTCTTGGTGATTGGGATATATTCGAATTTTATAAGTTTTTAATCTCTCATTTTCTATCAATTGTAAAGGTTCTGATGAAGTATAATAGATATTCTGACTTGAAATCATCTGATTAAAAGTTTTTATTGAGAACCAAGAGTTTGACTTTGTGTTGTTCAAATATAACTGTCTCAGTAACCACAACTTTCTTGATAATGTTTGTATACACCCATTCCAGAATGGATGTACAGACTTGTCATCACCAACAGAGACTTGACAAGATATAAATATAATCTTGTAATACAAGAAACTAATGATAAATTTGTC